GCACACCTCCCTCCTAACCCCTACCTGGACACAGCGGTTGGAAGCCAAGGGTTATCTGAACAACAAAAATTAATTTCAGAAATGAGACCCCAGGGTTTTTTTTTCCAACAGTTTCAGCAGAGTTTGGAAGGTATTTGTCCAATGCATCCTGTGACTAGTCACTCAGACTCAGCCACAAGCCAGTTATTGGAAGTGATTCATGCACCCAGGAGTAACACAGGGCTTGCACAAGAAGATCAAGGGCACCTTGGGATGCTTCAAAGATGCATGGCATGACCACACTTCATACCTGTGGCTACTCTGCCCAACATAAACATGTGAGCCCATGAACAGGGGCCCCTCTACAGCCCCTCTGCCCAGTCCCTGCGCAGCAGAGGGGTGGGTGTACCACGGTCTTGGGGACCTCTTGCCAGTTCCTGCTGCTTGGATTTGGTTTCTTTCCGCTCATTGTCCCAAAGGGGTTTTGTTTTACACTTCTGTATTTGTTTTATCTTAAATGCTAATGGAAAAATCAGGGTGAGCAGATCAGAAACAGGACTCTTGGCATTTAATAGCTTCCCAGATGCTGTCTCGGGCTGTACCGTTTCATACAGATCCTTCTGTCACTTGGGCACTGGGAACACCAAACCTACTGCCAGCTCAGCCCAGGGACAGACCACCTCATGTTCATCTCCTGTACACACAACAAGGGTCGCAGGAGCTTGCCTGCCTTCCCTATATCCAGAGTGCACAGAAGAAAGGGACAAGATTTGGTTTAAGTGCAACAGCAGAAGCACTTGTGAAATGCAGGGGCAGGAGAACAAGCAGCCGGCCGCAGCCTCACAGTCCCTCTGCTCTTGGGGCTCTGCCTTCCCCAGCACTTCTCCCCCCAGAAAAGGTCTGGCACAACAGTTAAGTCTTCCAAGAGATTCAGGAGGTGTCTTTAACAAGAAAAAACTAAGAATATCTTATCTAGGAAGCAACAGAGTAGCGGAAATGCTGAAGGAGAGTTATGGGCTATGTCCTGTCCCTGCTCCAATTCCTCAAAACAGCTGAGCAATTTCCCCAAGGCACTGCTTGGCCAGCACAGACCCTGGCGTGGAAAACTTCAGCCTGAAAGGGCAAAAGAGGTGAAAGTTTGAGTTTAATAAATGGGACTGAGCATTTATGTAGTCTTAATGTCACTATTAATCCTATTAATGTTATTAATCCCTGGGAGAAGGAAGGGGAGGGCACTAACTGGCAAAGATGAGACAAGACAAAGGAGATTTTTTAAATAAAAAAAATTTTTTTTAAAAAAGGAGGGGGGTGTTTAAAGCCTCAACTGCTATAGCTGCTTCTGTGGCATGAGATGTCACCACAGGCACACAGCTTTGTGGCTTTCCCATGGCTGTCACTATCATGGAGGGATACACTTACATGGCCAGAGAATCTCACCTACTAATTTCTCAATGAAGCCCATAAACTTATCTGAGATCATATATGCTGGAAAAAACAGCAAATCTTCACCTCTAAAAATGTCTTCCATTGGGGAATCCAACAACTCCCAAAGTATTTTTTATTTTATCACAAAAGCATTTCCCTTACTGCTGAAAATATATACCTTACTGCTACACTGGGATCAGGCTAGTCATTTAAATTACAACAGGAGAGACCCCCAGGAGCATACATAGCTGTACTGTAAGCAAATATTTAGTCAGGATATATAAGATATGGGACTCAAAGCTCCAGTCTTCTCCCAGTGTCTGCAAACCAAACATGTGCAGGAGGATCTAATGCTGTCACATTACACATTAGGAGCTGAAATGACTCCTGGTCAGCCCTTTGGGGATGGATAATCAGCAGCTTGTTCCATGCTCCCAATTAAGAGGAGATAATCCATTTCTGTACGGCTTTGGTGTCAGATCAGAGCAATTCTGGCAAGGGTTCCAATGGCACAGAGTGCTCCAGCAACAGCTGATGCAAACACTCCAAAAGCCACAGGGCATCACAGCCTCCATCCAAAGGACATGCCGCCACTTCGACTCTGCTTTTGCAGCAGCAACTGCTGAAAGGTCAAGCACATAACGGAGGCAGCACGGGTTTGCCTCTCCTCTTGGACCTGAATGTCAAGGCTGAGAGATTAGCAGCCAGGGAACCCACAACAAAGCTTTCCAAGAGCTGGAAGACATGGTTTGCTGCTTGAGCTGCATCCTGGAGTGGCCTTTCACAGCATGGGGATGTGTCACCCTGCAAAGAGGGGCATTCGTCCCACTTGCTGGGAGACCTGTTAAGTGAACTGAATTTGGTCTCTGCAATAACTCATCTTACCCACTCAGTCCCCCTTCACAGCTGCAGCACAGACAATTTCTTGTTAAATAGATGAAGGTGCACAGCTCCTTTTGTGTCAGCTTTATTTTCATTTGTATGGGTTTAGCTACTAATAATGAGGCAGCCCTAAAGAGCTGCAAACCCTAAAAATCAGAGCATGGGCCCATGCAAAGGAAAAGCGCTGGAAGGGATCGTGTGCTTTTCCAATCTCATTCATTCCTAGAGGTTGGGACAAATACATGAGTCTTGACTGTCTCTCCTTCCTGCAGCTTGGGCATGTTACATCAAACAGCATGGGAAGAATTATATTGGACAAGGAGCACTCAAATGTGCAAGGCAGAACTGACCACAGCTGACCTGATGACCAAGCACCACAGGAAGGGAACACCACACCAGAAGCAGCCAATAACTCACCAGCAGGCTCTTAAACAGCAACACCACAGCAGTCCAGGGCTGCTGTGGACTGCAAAATTTTTGCAGAAGAGTCTGAGGATCTCAGAGGGGAAATTCCTCAACCCACCCCAGCCACCAGCAGGAGTGCTGATGAAGAGGAGGTGCCTTTAGCCTCCAGGTGACGGGGCTGGAGGGAGAGAGGCACTCATAATTAAAAGTCTTCCCAGTAGTAAATGATGGAGGACAGTAAGCAGTTAATCTCTGCTTCCACACCAGGTAAGATTAAACAAATAAATAAATAAATAAATAGATCAGCTCTGTCTGCAGCAAATGAAGATTGAGATCCGATATTAGCAAACACTTAAAGATCGGGCCATTAGGCTGAGGAGATTGCTAATTCTCCTTCATTAGTTTTGCACAGGACAGAGAAACACCTTCCAGCTTCGAGGAACAGGATCACGCCATCCCCTTCCATATTTGCCTGTCAAGAACTCCCAGGGCTAAGATCAAGATGAGACCAGCACAGGGCATGCTGCAAGGGGCTGGCGGAAGAACCACACAGCACAAACAAAGCAGCTCACACAGGGCTCCCTGTCAAAGCTCATCCATTTTGAAGCTTTGTGCTTTGAGAGGTATCCAGCTCAGCTTAATATCTCCGTGCCGTCATGCAGCCCTGCAGCCATCTCTCACCCTACAAACAGGCAGACACACCCAGCAATACGTCTGCACCACGTCAGGGATGCTAATACCGTGAACTGTGCATTCTCTTTGTTTTCAATGCAGCGCTTCAAAAAGCCTCATCGTTCATTTAAGGTGAAGCAGATGCTGTTCCTCTGGTCTCTTTGAAATGGCTTATCTATGGGCTGGATTTCATTAAGTGTCTTGTTCTACATGTAATAAGCTTGCAAGTCTAGACACTTTGGTTCTCTCTCTAGCACCCGTTTGGTGTACCAGCAGGCAGAGACAACAGAGGTTAAGAGGGAAATATTTAGCTAGCAGATTGAGATGCTATCAAGATGATTGCGTAATTCCACTTTGACTCACTGCAATTTCATACCCAGGGACTTTTTCGCTCACCCAAGTGCCAATCCTTTTTGAAAGAAAGGGGCTGCTACCTGCTGCGGTAGTGTAGAGGAGATCCCTCGAGGTTCAAGGCATAGACTTTAGGATATTAGTAGAAAATCCACATCGAGCCAATGAATGAACAAAGAAGAAAAAGGTCTAGAGGAGCTATGCAGTGGAATCACCCTCTGCTACCAGATGGCAATGATAATGTACAAGCAGAAGAAAAGTCTCAGCAACCCAGTCCACCTGACTCTTCAGATATTTCCACATGCAACTGGGTGTCTTCTCAATCCTCCAGCCAACCCGGACAACCAAGGCAGGAGCCTGATGCTCTGTTCCTCCCCCCCAGGGATGCCCAGGCGCAGGGGCCACAGTGACCAGGAGCACCAACGCACCTGCCGAGTCCCACAGGAACTGCCAAGACTAAGAGTTCAGCAGCAAAACCAAGAGATGCTGCTCGGACCTCATACAGGAATTGTGCCCAACGCCTGGGCATTGGCTTCAGCTGTTTGCAAGAGGGATGTACCAAAGTGTTCTCCAAAGAAAGGCATCTGGCTGCAAGGTGGGCAACGCTGGAAGGGTGTGTGCCAGCTGCCTCCACAGGGAGTTTCTTCCTGCAGCTCCCATGAGCCAGGCATGCCCTATGGAGACCCAGTCTGACACGGCACCACTGCAGATCCAAGGGTAATGCCAAAACCAGTCATTTGCTTATCAGTCAGCAGTCCACGTCACTCGAGCGATGGGAACTCAGCCGAGACTTTGTTCATTTTCCTCCTGACCCTGCATCACACTTGAACCCTCAGCCTCCACACAAAACCAGCTCTGTGTGTATCTGCTGCTCTACCTAGCCCCAAAGGCCAAGTAAGATGGATACAAATCCCGCTGGTTCACAACACACCTGGAAAGATCAGCATTTTTGTAGACCAGGGCTGCAAGATGCGCACGTTACAATTACACACGCTGTGGGACGTACCAACAAAACTAATTGCGATCTTACAGTAAGAGCAAAACGTTTTTTCAAAAGATTAATCAGAAAGAAAGATCTCTGTCTTTGGGAAATAAGCAGCTATAATCAGCAAATATTTCTCTTTCGTGGGATTGCAAAACAAGGCATGCTCTGCCCTCTGAGCCGTGAGTCATGAACTTCCCCAGCAAAGGGGGAGGCAGAGCAGAACAACTGTATAGAGAACAACAGGATGGGAATTTTCTACATTTTACCCCAAGGAGAGAAAGTTCGAGGTCTCTGCACTTACCATCAAACTTCTTGTATCGGGAACTAAACATGGTTTGTAAGTGATTGCTAAGCTCTACGACAGCGTTTCTGAAGTCATGTTTACTCTGCTGACTGTACTTCTCCTCCATTTCTTGAGAGCAGCATGTGTAGCCTTGCGAGCAGACTTTCAAGTGGTCACCTGAAAAGTAGAGAATAAAATATCCTGAGTTAAAAGGATTCTCCATGCAAGGGCAAAGAGGTTGCCTTGTGAGGCAGAGGGTGCAAGGACCCCTAGTAGAACGATACTGTCAAGTTTCGCAGGCCAAGACAAACTCTTTCCATTGCAAACCTCAGCTCCAGCTTCTCCAACAGGTCCCACAACACAGCACCATCGCAGGCAGGTGGGTTGATGCTAAAATTGGGCAAATTGTGCAAACCTTTGTCAACACTGAAGATCAAAACAAGAAGTTAGGATGAGAAACTCATCCTTCCAACTCAGATGGTACTTTAAAAGACACAGCCTTGCATGCAAGCTGCTGCCTTCTCTCCAATTTCACACCCTGCTGCCAAACCTTATCCTTCATCCTGAGGAACTAGATGGAGAAAAGAAGGTTCTTCCCTACCTGCTCACACCCTGGAAGCCCCCAACAATATCCAGCCACCACCAAGGTTCAGAGAGTCATGGTGAGAGCTGCAAAGGACTTGTCAGCCTCCTGCACAGAAAACCACCTCTTCACAACAGGCTGTGAACCATGCACTCACTGAAGAGCCATCCTACCTGCTAGAGCATCAAAACTGGGCTTTGGGGAGGAGTGGAGGGGGGAAGGCAGCTTTTGCATGGTGCAAAACAAAGTCCGCCCATGACTAACACAAGCGGTTGCTTCTCTGCCTGCCTTGTGCGAGATCTCATAACATCATTTGCCCAGCTATTGAACTTTTGCATCACTCTGCCCTTTGCCTGATTTTCTAGCCCAGAAATGTATCTCTCCTTTCAGATGCTTAAGGACCATTTTAAAATAAGATATAAATATTTGTATTTATCTCTCTCTATATATATACACACATATATATACACACATGTATATAAAAATAAACAATTCCTAAGAACCTCCTCTCCTAAATCTGTTTTCCTTTTGCACTACAGGGTTTGTTTGTTTGCCCTGGCATTACAGAGAGACCTTGACCGACAGATAATTCTGCCACAGCTAATTTATTGCACAAGACCATCCAATGTTCTTGAATTACAGAAAGCTCAAAGTCTGTTATGGGAAGCAGCACTGCTCAGGCACAGCCTTCAGAACACACGGAAAAATCTTGCTATCTCCTTACAGATAGATTGTTCTTTCATGGACTTTATTTCTTTCCATCTCAGAGAAGCACCTCCAGCAGCAAATACACGGCATTAATGGGTGCAGCACTGAGGGATGCAGCTCCATTTAGTTTAGTTTTAGTTATTTAAAAGAGAGGAAGAGGTGAAACCAGGATTTTTGAATCTTGCCCACCAAATCCATCCTGGAACATGCCCGGGGACTCCTCTATGAGCCTGCCTTACTAGCCAGCATTAAAAAGAGAAAGCACCTGAGTGCCACCACTTTATTTCACTTGGAATTTCTTTGCTCTGGTTTCAACACAGGACTAAAGACTCTTTTACACAACAGGAAAGAAATAAACAGCAGCGAAGCGATAATTACAGCTAGTTTTGCTGTGTCAAAATAATTCCATTTCAAACATCTTGAAACAGTTTGTCTCCCTAAATTTCTTATGGAGGGGGAGTACGTTGGAAATATTTTACCTGAAATGCACTTGATGATTTCAGTGCCATTTCCATGATGCATGCCTGCCTTTGGTGGTTACAAATTACATCCTCGCCATTCTTTTGTGTTGGAGAGGTGAACCTCTACCCTACTTGGCAAATTCAAACCTACTGATAGTGGGATTTCTCCTCCTAGTTACACTTTGCAGACACTTCTGAAGCTGTCCACAGATGCCCTGGGATCTCTAAAACAGTGAGTTTAACAAAGACTCCCAATTTATTTATGATTTTAAAAAAACCCAAAAGCCCAATACACTTCCACAAATACAAGTAACAGGTTTATATCTATTTATACTATTAAACTAAAGTTACCATCCCACCTAATATTACAAAGCAAAGTCATTTTTCTTTGATCCCCCTTGTCCCAGATTTGCACAGTGTCTCCCCAGGACACACTGGGCAAAGCCAAACAAGGAGAACACTGACAGTAAATCAAGCTTGCACAGATCCCATTTGGTTGATCGTTAAGAAATTATGCTCCAAAATGCAACTCAGACATTCAAAAACGAATGACCAAGCAATCTAATTATGGAAGATATTTCTCAGTCATGTCAGCACTATGTGGTCTTGGCTTGTGATCAAGAATTAGCTCTGTCTGGAGCTGAGGAGCTCTGGCTATTCAGTGCTAATCGTAGGAGGATGCACTGGGTTAACCAGTGTTAAAAACTGTAAAGTTTAGGGCTGTGGGCTGCTTTTCTAGCAGTTTTCTTACATTACAGTGGGAGATACCAATGGAAAGTCACTGGAAGACACCAGAGCTCCTCTTTTCCCATGGGGATGGTTGTCCTTAGCACCTCCCATCCCTGAGAATATATCCTTGCTTGAGCAAAGCAACAGGCACTGACTTGGTTTGTGAGAAATCTCACGCCTGGCCTTTGTTATTAATCAGCTAGCAGAGTTGATCCATTCAGCATCCTTCCACAGGACTCATCCCATGCCCGAGTTTGCAGGGAGAGCAACGTCACATCCCAGCATCGTATCGCCTGTCCAGCTGATGGATCCATGGGGTCCCCCTTTGGACCTTACACCTACACGGACAGAGCCCCCAAAGCTCAGCATCATCAGACAACAGCTTCAAACCACAACAGTGCTACGACCACAGCATGCAGGGGAATGAACATGAAGCCTGGAAAAGAGCTGCTGCATGTGGTCAACGTGAGCATGGACCAGTCATGCACATGCAAAATGTCAGCCTAGAGCCAAGACCAAAGACAATGCTCTTTGCTGTTCCAACTAGCAGCAAACTCTCCTAAGGAAAAGGAGTGAAAAACATGAGTATTTGGGCTCACTTAAACAGAGATCTAATGTTTACGTATATCATGTAAAGAACACTCATGGTGTGCGCTCGCTGTCAAGGACACATTCGGCAATAATTATTTCCCAAGTTAAAGCTCATTAAACAATGCCCATACAAGGCAACTCGTCATCTACTGTTGAGTGTTAAAGACTCGGCATCCTTTGTAATTTATCACCATGTGAGCACAGCAAAAATATAACTCTGCCACAGCTTCCTTTCAAGTCAGGCTTTTTATTGAATTGTTTGGCAGGGTGTACAATCATCACGTCAGGGGCTGCATGGCAAAAAGAGCTTAAGTAGCAGAGAACAACTCCAAATATCTACCACATATGCACACCATCGCTGCAACTTGTCATGGATTTGCAGCAGATCTTTCCCATGGCCTGTCACAGCACGACTTTCTCTCTATTTTATATTACATCTGAATACAGAGAGCGAAATGAGGAACCAAAATTACAAGAGACGCTCGCTCCTTGGCTAGATAACAGCACACCGCTGGGGAACAGAGGTGGTGGTTTAAAGATAGAAATGCAACGGTACACGATGTTACCATCTGTACATCCAAGGAAATGTGCTCAGAAAGGTAATCTTGCAAACTTATGATTTAAGCCATTACAGAAATGCCACATTTAGCAGACTACAGGCACACAGAGTTTCTTCCAAATCAAGTAATTATTTTGCAATGTGTCAGAAAACAAGTTTTCATCGAACGAGTAAGTGTGCAGTGCAAACTCAGGGCCTCCGTGATCTTGAGAAGCAGTTCCCTTCACCGAACAATTTTCCAAGACCTTTTCAAAATGTTGTTTCTGGATGTCTAACATGCTTTCCTCAGTCTGCTTCTCCTCACCTTGACCAAGTCCATACTTTAAGTATACCTAGCTGCCAAACAAGCTAAACTTTCAGGAGTGGTTTGCTGGGAGGTGGAGGGGGGGGATGTTATTTCTTTAAAACACTCCTGTATACTGTCTAGCCCTTCACTGCAGTTCAGTAAACAAGCCAAAAGCAGTTTATGGACTGAGATGTTACTGTTGGACTTTGCTCCCCTGTAAGAAAACAGGCTGGGCTAAGCTGGGCTGATGGAGGAGTGGGAGGTGAACGCTGCCAGGGGATCGGGGAGCAGGGCCACCATTTTGGCCTCATGCTCTGCCTCTTCCCTCTAGCACACATCGGCTTGTGTCATCTTTAAAAGAGTTTTATGACTTCCTCTGAACCAACTACCAAAGGAATCCTGGACTGTAATGCCGGGTTCTAATCTGATTTCACACTAGACTTGCCTTCTAATTATCACAGAATATTAGGCTTCCACCCATCATATATAATTGACATGCTACCGAGGCTTACAAAACCCCCAACAAAGATGACAAGAAACACTAGCATCACCCCTGAGCACAGCTCCACTGCTCTGGCCCCACGTTAACAAGGGGCAAGAAGAAGAAAGAGAAGCGTGAGCTTGTGATCGGCTCCAGTGGAGTCATCGAGATAGACAAGGCTACCGAACCATCCACCCAATCCGATCACCTTTAATTATACCCACAATACCAAAAACTGACCAATTTTCCGGGCTACAAAATGAGCTGGAAATGCTCAGCATCCCCGGGAACAGCCAGTGAGCTCTCACCCATCTGCCATGGTGCTCCCGTAAATCCATAGGTGCTACAACCACACATCCCACAGCCACGACAGCCCTTGCCCCCCAGGGCAAGGCTGGGTTGCCCAAATCACTGCTTTTAGATGTTTGCTAATGGAGAACACTACAGAAATGCAGGTAAGTGTCTTGGCATATAAATATTTCCAGGTGAAAAAACACTAATCTGAAAACACCAAAGGGAGGGGAAAAAAGTGACCTTACTGCCTCCTCCCCGGCTGTCCCACACACACGCTGCTGGAAGGTGTGCTTTTTGCCTGGCATAAGCAGCAAACTTGAATTTTTAGTACTTCTTATCAGAATACTCTTTTTTCACCACGTGGTCGGTCTTCTCTGCTTGCTTTAAAGCAGAGCTCCTGTGGGACTTGTGTTTATTGTACTGGGGAGAATACTCCTGGGGAGATGGTCGCGTGCCAGGAAGGAAGAGATGTAAAACAGCATT